CTGCATGCCCCACACTGGGGATCAAGCTCGCAACCCAGGCATGTGCCTTGACCAGGAATTGAACCGTGACGTGACCTCCTGGTTCATAAGTTGATGCTCAACCACTGAGCCATACCGGCCGGGCCATACTCTCTCTTTAAACCCCTACAAACTGTCTTCTGTCTCCTCCTCTCAGATCATTTTCCTGGAGTCAAAAAAAAGTTCAACACGTGTATGCTAGGCACTGTACTAGGCACTGGGGATACAAAGGAAGAAAGGTCTCAATCTCAAGCAGTTAAGGAATCCAGTCCCCAAAGAGCCTGTAATCATCAAATCTGAAGGACTCTTCCTGATCCTCTCCTCTCCTTGACCCTCCACAGCATCTCACACCCATGATCATCATCTTAAACTTCTATCTTTGACTCTCTGCAGCTTGTAGGAAGTGAAGGTCAGAAAGGAGCCAGCAAAGTGAATGAGAATGGTTAGAGAGATGAGAGAAGAACCTGCAGGGTGGGGTCTAGATCAGCGGTCACAAACCTTTTGGATCGCACGGACCACCAGTGGTCTGTGGACCACCGGTTGGCGACCACTGGTCTAGATAAAAGTGTTCAGATGCACACACACACACAAACACACACACACACAACCTGTTCTCTAGCATAGATGTCTTCAGACCACCAGTGTCCTGGTTCAGCATTATGGACCTCTTGCTTGGCCCTCTGACTTCCCTTCCTGGTTTCGGGAGCTCTCTTCTCCTATTTATTCTTCATGATGTTGTATTCAGTTCTAATATTTACCTGAAAACCTTCAGTGGTCTCTGCTACTTCCCAAAGCACAAACTCCTTACCTTACCAAGGATCTCCACTGGATGACTTCAGATCTCCCCCTCTTCCCCACACTCCAAACAAACATTACTGGCTACCCTCAAACACTTTGCAACACTTCTAGCTTTTCCTCTGCTACATCAAGAGTCAGGGGATTACTGTGCTTTAAATTCTACTTCTCCCACCATCCTCACCCACTGAAAGTGATAACCATCCTTCAAAGCCCAACCCAAATGCCTATCAATTCCATGCAGTCTTTTTCAATCTGGGTTGGATGTGCTGTCTTCATCCTGAGACTTCTCAATGGACTTCCTCTGCATTTCTCTTATAGCACCAAATGTACACTGTCCTATATTGAGGCCATACATGCTTGTCATATTACTTCTGTCACATCCCTGAATGGTACTAGGTGTCATTCATCCTGTAGTACATTCATCCTCACCTGACATCATTGCTCCCCAACACTACCGAAAACAGTACTTTGAAATGAACTTATTTGTGAAACAGTTACACATGTTGACTTGAATAGCAGGGTCTGATATTCCAAAAGCCATGTCAGTAGATGGTCTGTTTTTATCTGTACTTTTTATTATTTTGGTGTCTAGTCTAACTTTTTTAAAATGACTTTTAGTGGCTAGAACTGAGAAATTAATTTCCAAAAATTTTGAATGAGCAATTCAATTAACATTTTTCTCCAGTTTGTCACTTTATTAACTTCCTAAAGGAAGAAGTAGATTCCTAGAACAAATTTTAAAAAAGGCAAAGTATCAGGACTTGAGAAATCAAACTCTCTGTGAACCACTCCAATAACAGCAACATCCAGAAATCCATCCCATTTGTTTCCCTATAATGGATTTCCCCTTCATTTTCTATTAAACCCAAGATTAATAAAAAAATAATCATTATACAATTCCCATGCAGAAGACATCATGCTGAGATTAGAGAAATAAAAAAGGCTGATCCCTGCCTTGATAAGCTCACAGAATAGCAGGGAGGATGGGCAATTACTACATAATTATTATATAAGGCAAACTGAGATTACGTACTCTGATAGAAGAACCTGCCGAGTTTAACAAGTGAGAGGTGAGATTAACTTCCATCAGGTGAATGCACATGACTTGGAAAAAGGACCTGGGATTGAGCAAGATCGTGGATGGTGGGTTTTAAAGAGACAAGAGGATTGCAGGAGAAGAGGATAGAAAACCAAAGGCTCCAAGTCCAGAAAGTTCTATGTATATCAGAAGAGTATAGCATGGTCCCATGTGGTTGGAGTGTAGGTATAAGCCATGGGAAGTCACTGAGAAGTTTGTTTTGTGGAGAGTTGGACACAGAGTGACATGATCAAAACTGGCAGCATTACCTGGCTGGCGTGGCTCAGTGGTTGAGCATCAGGCTATGAACCAGGAGGCCATGGTTCGATTCCCGGTCAGGGCACATGCCCAGGTTGCAGGCTCGGTCCCCAGTGTGGGGCAGCCAATCAATGATTCTCTATCGATAATCACTGATGTTTCTATCTCTTTCACCCTCTCCCTTCCTCTCTGAAATCAATAATAAAAATATATTTCTTAAAAACTGGCAGCATTGTAGAAGATAAATTGAAAGTAGAACCTAAAAGAAGGAAAGCCCATTGGGAAGCATGACATAAATTAGGAAGCATAAGTAGAAATGGAAAAAAAAATTTGAGAGTTACTAATAAGTAGAACCTATAGGGATTTGGAACTGATGTGGGTATGAGAGGCAAGACAGAGGAAGAATAGAAAAGTTGACTTCAAGTTCTCGAACCTGAACAACTGAAAATCATCCAAACTGAGGCACATGTAGGATCAAAAGCAGGTATGGAAAACTGCAAAGAGCATAGGAAGGTGATGAGCTTGTGATCCTCATGGATTTCCAAATATGCTTGAGAGTTAGGCTTGTTAGATTCACTCAAGGCCAATGTCAGGGCTAGATTTAGAAATCACCCATACAGTATTGGCAGCTTAAGCTATGAGACACTAAATGAAACCATTAAGGCAAAGAAAGTAACATGAGAAGAGGGCTGACAGGGGATCACTGATGAGATTTTTACTTTTAAGGAAAAGACAGAAGCAGTGGGTACTGGGAAGGAGTAGTCAAGATGGTAGAGGAACACAGAAACCAAGACTTACAAGAGGGTGGTCAAAATGGTTGAATGCCTGCGGGAGAGAAAACAGAATTAAGGCTGAAGTGTGGCACTAGATTTGGCCAGTAAAAGGCCATGAGTTCCAAGAAGGTACCTGCAATAAAGCTGGATACTGGAATGGGTTGGAGGAATGAATGAACTGGAAATAAAGACAGACTATTCTTTCCAGAAGACTAAACTGAAGTGAGAGATGGGACAGTAGTTTAGGAAAAGCTGGCCCAATACTTGACATCTGAAGGGGAGTAAACCCTAAAAGAAGTAGAAGATGTCAGAAAAAGGGGGTGAATAATAGAGCAAGATCTTATAGGTGGGCTGGGTTCTCAATTTCTTCAAACTTATGTGAGCCATTCTTTAAATTTCTTATAATTTAGGGCCAGATATGTAAAACCCAGAACACTTTCCCTAACTGAATTTTCATGGATTAGACTTACATTCTCACCTTCATAATAAATTCAAAGATGTGGTCCCATAATATTTTTTATTCTAATAGTTAAAAATACTTAATATTGAAAAATCTTTTAAATCACATATTTAAAAATATAAATAAAAACTGAGAAAAGGTTGAAAATGTATACAACTCTATGATATCACTGCATTTGTTTTAAGCATTACATTTGAATCTATAATCAAAACATGACTCATGATGAGTACTTCATATCCTTCTAGATATCTACAGTCTTTGTATAATTGTCCTTTTTATCAACCATGAATTTCCTTTGACTGAAACAACTGTTGATGAAATCTGGGAAGAGAGAAGCCTTTTTCTCACTAGAAAAAAATCTGAGACATTTATTGTAAATAAATTAATTAACTATAAGCCATAGGAAGAAGAGCTACATTACAAAGTAGCTTTTCTATTTAATGATCTCTTTCATTACATTCAGTCTAGCTGACAACATATTGATCACATATATATGTGTGTAAGTATGTGTGTATCTGCATATTTCATTTTTTAAGAATTATTTCCTTGTTTACCCCTTAGAAGGTGTTTGCCTCCAAGTTTGTTATGCACCAAGCAGAAGAGGAGAGAGGTAAGAATATGCAAGCAAAGAATGACAAAAAAAGAAAAGAAACGGCAAGATCAAGGCAGAATACAAGGATTGTTTTAAGGGCAAGATGCATAGGAAGCTTTATTTCAGGCATGTGGCAAAATAAAGTTAGATTATTCAATTTAGTGAATAGAAAGGTATACACATCCTGAAATTAATGATCAAACCATATTTTAAGGATAGCTTCTATCCTTAGTTCTAGGTATACATATCCTGAATCTTGTTATAGACAAAGTCATAGATTATAAGTAAATACGCACATAAGTCTGTCATGCCAAATATACACTAAATGCTATCAAATGACATTTAAAGTGCCACTCCTTAAAAAAAGTCTGTACTGAACTATTGTCTGTGTCCATGGGGTATGCATATTGTTCTTTAGCTAATCACCTTCTTTATCCAGTCATCCCCATAGGGGGACAACTGCAATTATGTCAACTTTACATTTTTTTAGTTAAAAAAAAAGAGCTGCCTTATTCAGCAACTGCCTGCAGTACCTGTACAATGTATCTGAATTTTAGAAGTGGGTTTGCTTAAATGACATTTAGTCTCAGAGGACTTGTTCCCATTTATAACTGGTGCCACCAAAGCCTGACATGCATCCATTCTTAGCTCCCAAGTTGAAGAAAAAGACCTTTGGGACGTGACTTCACAGTGTGGCACATCACATGGCCATCATGGCCCACTTCACAGCTTCATGCCTGTTACAGAAGGCTGGCCAAGACTCAGAGCATGCTCGAGGGTAGGAGAGCATAAACTGCTCCAGGTCAAGCTCCCAGGCTCACTGGGAGTTCTAATCCACCTGCAGGCCCACAATGCAGTCACCTGGGGTGAACCATCTAGCACAGGCCATCTCCCTCTGGGAATGGTTCAATCATGTTTAAGAAATACCCTCACATACACATCACACAGGGAAGTGCAGCACAGACAGTATATGAAAGAGGAGACACCAAAGAACCTTTCGATGCTGAGAACCCTAGAATTTACCAGACTATGGGACAGAGGAAAGGCGTGTCTTGTGAGGATCTCAAACATATCTCTTCTGCTGTGGCCTTCTTGTTTCAATGCAAACCTCAGGTTTCTCATGTCCTAAGGGGCAAGAAATTTGACATATCAGAGTTCAAATAAAGCCATATTTGTTAGTTAAAAATCTTGTATTCAACTAAGGAGTAGAAGATTCACTTACCAAAAAGGGTAATTTATCTAGATTACAAAGAAAATTACTTTGCTTTGTATGCTATTTTGAAATATCTAGTTTAATAACCCCAGAAAATATTCCCATTGTAATCATGAATGTAAAATCAAAGCAGCTAGTGCTAAAGTGAAGACAGAGCTAAAATTCGTTTTATAAAAAAACACATCAAACCTTGCCTTGCATATCATCTACTGTGTCTGTCTACTTTAACTGGTTTCTGAGATATTTTTAATTATAAAACTGTATTTTATTCATAGAACTTTTCAAATGTATACCTGCTATCAAATATAATCTCAAAATTGTCAAACATGTCATTAAAATACAGAAACTCTTTCCCTCACTCTTTATGTTTTTAAAGTCTTATTTTTAAAAATTAGGAAATGATTGGCATTTTAAACTCTCATACAAGTAATGTGATGCATTTTTACTATAAAATTTTACTTTTATAGAGTTCTATATAACCAAAGAGTTCTATATTGCTCCATATTAGGAGTGACTATACTTCCAGGAACTAAAAATTAATGATCAAACCATATTTTAAGGATAGCTTCTATTACATATCTCTTTAATAAGCAGGAAAACCTTTAAACCAAATTTAAACAGAATAAGCTCCCATAAATATCAATTTATATTATACATCAAAATAACATTCTATCTTATTTTTAAAGCTGCATTTTTTAGGTTGTCTCTTAAATCAATCATGGCACTAAGAATATTCTATTGTATATTGCATGCACTTTCAACCAGAAACAGGCACTATGCTGGACCCTGGGGATACAGATACGCATGAGTGAGACAGATCTAGTCTCTGCCATTTTGGATGTCACCAGTTTCATATTTTTCAAAGTGTTTTTAATTTATTATCTCAAGAGCACTTTTAAAGCTTCATAAGTCTTCAATGTGAAGGACCAGAAAAGGCTTTACCATATATAATCTAAAATATGAAAGACAGCAAAAGAAGTATAAAGAACCAGATTCTAAGACCTCTAATGAATGACCCACAACAGATCATTCTGTATACAGATAGCATCTACTGGGCCTTTCCAGCTCCAGGAATCTGTGCTTTTGTTTTTAAAAACATGTAATTGAATAAAATCCAAAAGCTGATTCACAACATATTCCAAGAAAAGTGCAATATTAGTTGTTGGCTCATGATGCCAAACACTAGTCAAGCAGAAGAAAAAAAAAACCTAATTTCAATAAGATGATATGCTTTTAAAGAGTATGCCATGAAATACAAGTATATCATAAGAAGTCTCAGGGCTCAAAGAGCTGTGAGGAACTTTCTTCCTAACAACCTTGGATCAGATGATAACTGGACAGCATCATTCTCTTAACCACTCAGTGAGAAATTAGACCATTTCTGGATAAATATTTATTCTGATGTATCAGTGATTCCAGCAACTACTTTCAATGTGCCAAGGCAAAAGTGATTCAAGCGACTTATTATTGCCATCTGATGCAGATGTAATTAAAGGACAGGAAGAATTACTACCTCATCTTGCCAACAAGAAAACTGAAGTGGAAAAGGCAAATGACTAACAGAAGGCAGATCACCACATTAGTAAGAGAAATATGGGCATATACTGTTAAGTTCCAGTTGGTCTCCTTTAGAGTCTGCCTCATTACGGAAGCACACCTGGGAAAGAGCCTTGTGGCATAAGAATCTAGTAGTCTGACCCTCAGCCTCTTTAACAACTGGGTCACATGGGGATGCAATAAGCCTCGCTATAATAAATGAGTCGAAGTAAACACATCTTTGTTGTAACAACACTGAAGGGCTGATCTATTGAGGTGTCATTTCTAGAATGTATTTCTAAGGAAATAACACCATCACTGCTGACTTCAAAATAGCACATTGTCATTAAACTGAGTAAATGGGAATGAGTGTGCAAGAAGACAGAAGGCTTTTTGGTGATATGGTTTGGCTTTTTTTTTTTTAAGGCTCCAATTTGTTAGCAGGGGCTATACAACCTGGAGAGCGGTCATAATTCACATATTCAGAGCTATCTTTGCTTCTGTTGCTAAACACCATCCATTGGGACATATATTTACCATGTGAAAGCTGCTACATGCAAACAGAAATCCCCATGTTGAGAGCTGGTAAAACCAAATATGTAGGGGTTATGACTACTTGCTTCGGTAGAGAAACAGTTGTATGATGGTTACTGACTACAGATGTCAGCTGGCCTATGAGAGGCAGGAGGGTGAATTTTTATCCCACTGCTGCAGATCCCCTTTTATAACTTCAGGTCTTACTGCGAAAATGGAACTTGAGTCTTGTGGCATTGGTGTTTCCAGGGAGATAACTGAGTTAAAAGGTTGTGCTATAACATTGTTCTTGGCCATTATCTTTGAGCTTAACTCTAATTCCAAGAAATATAGTGTATGCCCCCCAAAATGTGTACATACTACTTTAACAGCTGATAACTCATTTAATAAATTGATTAATAAACACTGGCTTTATAATCACTCAAAGTATATATAAATACATATATATACACATACATTATATATACATATCCCTGTATATATGTAACACTTGAGAATTATGCCTGGTGAAGTGTTCCCAGCCTTTTGTTCTTACAATAAACAAAGGGTAAGAATGTGCTTTCTCTTATTAATTTTGGGTGATTAATAGTCAATATAAGTTTTTCCTATTGATAAGGCAACAAATAGGATTTGTTAAAAACTCTATTAGAATAAAAGTCATTTCAAAATCATCAAAATAGCAATCCCATTTTCCCTTGAATACTATAATATAACACTCTACTCCTATGGACCCTTTTATGCAAAATACAAAAATTTTCCTTAAAAGTAAATCCCCATATCTCTAGGCCTCAAAGGGTATGTAGCTGGGATCACAGGTAAGGCATTAAGGGAGCTTGGATTAAAACAAAAAAGACAAGGTGGGGAGTGATGAAGAATTTTAGTTCAAGTATAAAAATGCCATAATCCTTTGTTTCTGATAGCCTGTACTAGTCTTCATATTTTATAAATCAGAGACAAAAAACTCTATTGTGTTCATAATCCAAACCAAACTATGGGAGATTGGTTTTAAGGAGCCAGAGTGAATGAGACTAGGAAAAGGAGACTTAGGTTTTCATTCTGGCTCTTCCACCAGCTCCTTAGACAACCCTAGGTAAGTAATTCCACTTAGCAGAGGCCTCATTTCCCCATCCATAAAATAAAGGACTTGGACTGCCCAGGAGTCACTAAACTTCGGCCCAGGTGAGTCTTTGTATGGTCTTCAAGCTAAGAATGCTTTTCATATTTTAAAAGGGTTAAAAAACAAAACACAGAGGTGTACATATGACGGAGATGCTATTGGCCCACAAAGCCTAAAAGTAGGATTTGGGGTAGAACCCAAAGATCAACATTTTTAAAGTGGTTTTTCAGGTTACCCTGATGCATATCTAGGTGTAAGATCCACTGGGGCAGATGATCTCCAAAGCCTTCTAGCTCTTTCTAGGATTGGGCATTCTTCTACAAAGTGTGGTCTTCTGATAATACCTTGAAACAAGTTTCTTGCCAAGAGTTTATTTTGTTCTTTGCAAAGTGATTATCTCACTATATTTGGATCCCAACTTTGCCATTTGCTGGGTAATCTTAGCTAAGTTACAAAACTCTTCTTATCCTTAGGCTCCCCATCTATAAAATGGGGACACCACTATCCATCTCAGAGGTTTGCCCTAAGGATTGAGTGCAAACCACCTAGCATGAGTTTGGAGAGACATGGATGCTCAATAGATGATTACTAATATAACTGATTAAATTTTATTATCATTAAATCTTGGCCACTAACCATGCCAAAACAAAGTGTTAGGCTACTACCTTTCAAAACTATTTATGAAAAAGTTAGAGCGGTTATTAGATGTAAGAACATATCCTGTTAAGAGAGAGCAAAATCTCTTGTATTTCTCCTTCCTTTCACAGTGTGAAGGTATGTAGCTGGTAGCACATAACATGAAGGGACACTAGGAACAGACCTGGACAAAACTAAAAAGTGTGAAATTTTACTTATAAAGTTTCTTCCTACTCAGTCAAGCTAACAAAATGACCAGTTCAAGTCCTCACACTTTGTGGCAACAGCAGGTCACTTTTATAGGACTATTTCCTCAGTTGGTTTTGGAAAGGAAGAACAAAGGTCTCTGATTTTTTTTTAACCCACATTAACTTTTACTTATCATTCAACATCAATGTGCCTTTTTTCACATAAGAAAGTACTGAATCTCTTACTTTACAAGTAATATCTAGACCATAGGAATTTTCTCCTCTACTTGTGGCGCCTCCCATTTTTTCAATTCTTGAGATCACTCCCAAAGGAACATCAAGTATTAGAGCAGAATCCTGTAACGGACAAAAAGATAAAAGTCAATATTTCTGTCAGTATAATTAAAACATCAAAAACAAATTTAAAACAACCACATGGTCTCAGGGCATTTTAACCTTTGCCCTTTTACCATTTTTTTAAATAAATAAAAGTATGATATAGACTACACATGAAAGAGCAAGAATTAAAATAATCAGTTACACAACCAAAATGCATCCCCCAAATGTGCCATTCTGCATTGCCTCCACAATGAAGATTAAAGTCCTAGGTATACAATTCAAGCTCATGATGCTGCTTCCAGCCTGTCTTTGCAGGCTTCTATCCCATGACATTCTGTGCACCAACTAAGTGAACACCTTTACTGTTCTTCATATATTTCATCTACAATCAGGCCTATGTACTTTGTGCATGGTGTTCCCTTTGCCTGGGATGATCTATCTTTCCCAACTACCAAAATTCTTCCGGTGGCTTCAATCTAGGCTCAGCATGCATCACCTCTCAGGAAGTCTTACTTTCTAATTAGATCACATAGTATTGACCACTTCCTCCTCTGAAGTTCTACAACATTTGATTTAGACTGCTGTTACACCACTTGCTTCACTCTATCTTGTTAGCATAAACTTCAATGTCTGTTTTCCCTCACTAGAAAACAAACACCTAGAAGTCGTGCCTATCTTAGGCATGAGTGCATTTCCCAAAGCGGAAGGACCTGAATGTATAGCAATGCTCCTCCATCATTTCTTATCCAATGCTGGCTGCAAAGGTTCCATAAGACTGCTGGCATGATGAAATCATGTTAGCGAAGTCATTCTACAATCCTTGCAATAAGATAACAGCAGCTGCCATATATAGAATTCCTCGTCTGTGCCAGGTACTACAACAGGGGCTTGACATGCATCATCTCATTTTATCCTCACAACCATTCTGGATGTAGGTGAAGTATTCCTGTTCCTGAATGTGCAATCAAGGCTTTAAAAACCTTCAGTAACTTGCTTAGAAAATTTCAACCCTTGGGAAAGGGTTGAGATTCAAGATGAGGTCTCAGAATACCCATCAAAGGAGCCATAAAAATGGTCCTACACTTTGACTCCACAACTGCACTTCTAAGAACTTATATTACAGCTATGGCACACCAAAGGAAAAGCTGTATGCATAAAGATGCTCAAGGGAGCCAGAGGTGAACATCAGGGTCTAGAAAATTACATTTAGTCAACTCAATTGAATTAGCATGCAGCTACTAAAATAATTATGTACATGGAAAAAATAAGTTTAAATAGAAAAAAGCATACAAAATACACTGTGACTACAACAATGTAAAATACACATTCATATGCACAAAGATGGGAAGGGTTACACAATTTTTTAAATCCAATATTTTCTTTAATGCTGTATTAGATGACTTTGATAATAAAAAAATTTAAAGGTGTTTATTAAATTTTTGTTTTTTAAAAGATGTTTTTTTCAGGGGTACAAATAAAAATTAAGTTTTTTTTCTCTTACTTTAAATCATTCTCCTTAAAACACAAAATAAAAATTAAGCATTTCTTCATAAAATATAATGTAGTTCATGAGTATTCCAGAAATTCAAAAAGAGTAAGACTGTGGTGCATCCATGCTATGGAATGCTACTTAGCTACAAATATGAATGTACTATGGATACATGCAACACCTGGAAGAATCTTAAGGGCATCGTGCTGAGTGAATAAAGCCAATCTCTAAAGGTCATATGCTATATAATTCCATTTATAACATTCTTGAGATGACAAAATTGTAGAGACAGAGAGGAGAGAAGTGGTTGTTAGGGGTTGAGGGGAAGTAGAGTGTGGCTATAAAGGGGTAGAATGAGGGAGTTGGTTTATATCTTGACTGTTGATGATAATTACATAAATTTATAACTGGCATTATATGTGACAGAATTGAATGCAAAAATATACAAAAAATGAGGGCATGAAAAACCTGATGTAACTATATTGTGAAAATCAATTTCCTGGTTTCAATAAAGCAGTACAGTTATTGCAGAAGTTGGGTGATGTGTACACAAGACTTCTCTGCACTATTTTTCAAAGTTCTTGAAAGTTCATAATTATGCCAAAATAATAAGTTTAAAAAGTATAAGAATATGGTTATTATGATGTAGAGAAAAGAGCACAAGCTATTAAGTTGGACATAAAATGTTCAAATCTGAGTTTTGACATTTATTAGCTGGATGATTTTAACAAGTTACTGTATCTCTCAGCCACATTTACCTGTAGAGATTATTACTAGTAGAGATAATGGCCATAAATTATCTGGCATAGTGCCTGTCATATGGTAGCTACAAAACAATGGAAGTCATTACTATAGCAAAGAATCCCTTATTATTTGAAAGACATAGCTGTGCTATGCAACTAGAGTGGCTCAGTATGCTCTGGCATGTAGCTATAGGTCTTTCTGTTTGTACCTATAAGGAGGCATTTTTTTTTTTAGCTGTTCATGGGATAAGACATCTCACTACATGACTGAAATCCAAATCCCTAGATAAAAAAGACACTACTCAGTAACCATGTACATACATAGTTGTATATTATAATGTATTTATTTCTCAATACAATCTAGTTATTAAAACATACTATCAGGCAGTCTTTTATTATGCTTAGATTATATTGAGATTTATCAGTGTCTGTTCAACTGTATTCCTAAATACATAGAGTAGACATTAAATAAAAGGCTGATACTCTAATAGCAACACAGAAGCAAGAACACAAAAAAAGGGAGAAGAAAGTGAGATGAGACTTTGCTGTTCTTTGTCCCTGTATTATAGTGGGAATTCTATAGCCCTGATTGCCCTGACCCAACACAAAACAGAAAATGGGACACTGAGACCCTGGCCGGTAAGGCTCAGTTGGTTGGGCATCGTCCTGCACACTGAAAGGTTGCCAGTTTGATTCCAGGTCAGGGCACTTGCCCCGGTTACAGGCTGGATCCCTGGCAGGGATGTGCAGGAGACAACCTATCAATATTTCAATCTCATGTGGATCTCTCTCTCTCTCTCTCTCTCTCTCTCTCTCTCTCTCTCTCCTTTCCTCTCTCTCTAAAAATTCATAAAAATCTGAGGAATCTCAGAGGGAAGGGGAGCAGAGGGAAGAGATTAACCAAAAAACTTATATGCATATATACATTGCTCATAGACACAGACAACAGGTTGGTGAAGGCCTGGAGCAGGGCAGGAACCAGGTGGAAGGAGGCAATGGGGAGAAGATGAGGAGACATCTGTAATACTCTCAACAATAAAGATAAAAAAAGTTTAAAAATCACTTAAAAAATGGGACACTGAGGAAAACCAGTCAGCTCCTGACCAAGAGCACCCACAGTCTAATGAGGCTACATGTCATGTTCTCCCTGAGTGACAGGTTCAAAATCAGATAACCCAGCCGGCCAAACTGGAAGATCCAGGAACAGGAAAACTAGCTTCCCTCTCTAGAAACCTAAGTCGTCACTATCTAAATATCATTAAATATTTAAGGATTCTCAAAGGTTCATTCTAACTCACAATTCTGTGCCTCTGACCTCTGAGTATCTAAAATAGTTAAGCAGTAAATATAACAATCTAAAAAGATGCATTCATTTATTATCTCTCTTTTGAGTATATACTGAGTAACAGAAACTGTACTGTTCCTTAGGGGCCGTGGAGATGAAATAAGATGCAGATATTGCCCTCAGGGAGCTCAAGGCCCAGTCTGGGAGAAAAGACACATGTATCCAAATAGCCACAATGCTAGGATGCATGTGCCAAAAGCCATAAAAAAGATCCAAAGTGGAATGAGAGGTTATAGGAGGGCAAGATGATTTCCTATCAACTGGGTCACATGAAGGTTCTGTGGTAAAAGTGACATTAAGGATGATACTTAAAAAAATAGAATAATATCAGTTGGAGATTACCCTTTCATGAACAGGTAACAATAATATCAGCTACCCATGTGGAAAAACATGGGGATTTTATATTAAAACAACAACAACAACAACAACAACAACACCCCACCACCACCACACACACACACACACACACACACACACACACAGACACACACACACACACAGGCCAGGGCCAGGTTTAAGATAGGGTGGCTGCAGAATTTCCTGGGGAACAGTACTCCAGGGCTTGGATCAAGATGACTGGGTTCCATGGAATGTGTTTTGAGAAGAGAAATTCAGTGACAGAATGATGGTTTATGAAGACTCAACTAGCAGCACTGAGCACTCCATGAATGGGAGTAGAAGGCTAAAATTCTGTATTTCTGTACCTCGAAGTCTCTCAATGGGTATAGAGGACTATACCCATTCCTTGGAATCCTGGAGGCTGTTTTAGTGCCAGTGAGAGGCTATGAGGATCTGAAAATGGAGAGTGACTGAGGTGGAAAGCAAAAGGAGATGAGTCTCTGGGGAAGAATCAAAGATGATTCAGATTTAGACTAAAGAGCCCGGGACAACGATGGTCCTACCAAGACATGTGAAGAAGATAAGAGGAGATTCTGGAGGAAGATTAACATTGTCAAGTTTAGACACACTGGGTTTGAGGTTATGATAAATTATTCAAGAACAGATATCTAGGAAGCAGCTGGAAATACAGAACTGGAAGAGATCCCAAAGGCCCCTCAAAGGAAAAATGTCCAGAACTAAACAAGTGATGTTTTTCTCTCCAAACTCCATCTTCATGTCTCCATGGCTGGCACTCCATCTATTCAGTTACCAAAGCTGGAAACCTAGGAGTCATCCTTATCATCGCCCTTCTCCATTATCCTTAATTCAATCTCTCATCTTTACCTCTTAAATAAATCTCCAATCTATTAATCTCTCTCCAACTTTACCAGAAACTTCTCGACCACTGGAAAAGCCCCAGTGGTCTCTGCAGCTACTATTACTCAGCTTATAATTTTCCCTCCACTCAGCAACCTGGGGGATCTTTTACAAAAGTAAATTTGATGCTATCATTCCTCTGTTTAAACCACTTCTGAAGCTTCTCATTGCTCACCTCTAAACA